GTATATTGTTATAATTATAATATAGGAGGCGATTCTCATGTTCTAAAATCTCAATTACAAGTATTTGAAATAATCTGAAATAATTACGAAATAAATTGTAAATTGATTTTTGAATATTTGTAAAAAATTTGATTTTTGGTAAAAAATAAACATATTAATATGGAATCAAAGGTCTACCCGATTTGAGTGTATTTAATAAAGAAATAAATAATAATAATAATAACATTCATTTTTATCCACTAATTAATAATCAATTTCATTGACCCACAACTTCACAGTGGGGTCAGGTCTAAGAGTCATATTTGCTTTACTTGTAACTTTGAAACCTTTGACTTCATGGAACTGGAAGTTTCTTAATAAATTGCACAAGATAACTTTTGCTTCATTTAATGCAAGCCTATTACCAATACATGATTTTGGCCCAGCTGAAAATGGCATAAAATTGTAATGAGTAAGACCTTTAACCTTTTCTGTAAACCAACGTGATGGATTAAATTTTTCAACATCTTCACCCCAAATTGATGGTGAATGATGAATTTGATAAATTGGTACAAAAATTGGTGTATCCTAAATTAATTTATTACTATTAGTAATATTATAAAAATAATAACAGGATGCATAAATAAAATAATACCTTTGGAATAAGATACTCATCAATCATGACATCTTCATTTGCTGTACGACCCACAAGCACAACTTTTATTATAACATAAAAAATATATATAAATATATAACAAATGCATTTATATTTATATAATAATCATAACAATATTTCTTCTTCTTATTATTCATTATAATAATATACCTGGAGGGACAATTCTAAGAGTTTCTTTGCAAACTGCATTTAAATATTCCATGGAATTGATTTGATCAAAATTTAGCTCAGAATCTTTATCAGGAAATTCTTTAACAATCTCTTCTCTGAGTTTGTCTTGAATTTCTTGATCTTTGGACAAATAATACAATATCCAAGACATCATAACACCAGTTGTCTCATGTCCTGCTATTAAAAATGTCATAATCTTGAAAATTTTTTTTTAGTAAAAAAATAATAATAATTATAAAAAAATCATTTCCTTCATTTTCTTTGCAATAACAACTACCTGATTTCTTATTTCTTCAAAACTCATTTGTTCATTGTTATCTATTTCCTGTCCATAACTAGCTTTCACCAAAACACTTATCAAATCATTGCTATCCAATTTACCTTTTTTCAATTCATCAAATTTATCTTGAACCAATTTCCTTGTAATTTTTTCAATTTCAATTGAAGCATTTTGGGTATCTTGATTTATTTTTAATGGCAGCAATCTCAATATGGGCAAAGCAAGTGATAATAAATTAAATGCAGACCCATATTTGTGATCAAAAAGAGTGCTTAATGAGTCAGCAAGACTTGATGATTTTATCAAAGAATTTATTTCAGAATCAAACCCTAAATAACAAATTATTATTAATTGTATGAAGATTGATTTGATTAAACACACTGACTATTGATTTTAATTGCATTATTTTATTGTCTGTTCAATCCTATTTATAGAATTACTTACCAACTATGCCAATAACATCCAATGATGCTCTTCCCATATAATGACCAACATCAATTATTGCACATTTTTTATCAATGTCATTATTAACATTTTGACTATTCTTTATTTCATCTTTCCATAGATCTTTCAATGTATTAGAAACCCTTGTAAATGCTGGAATCATATCCTAAACAAATAATATCAATATTAATATTAATGTAACTAATCCCACAGACAAACCTGCTGTTAATGTAAAAATTTTTTATTTACCCTAATACTATGATTACCAAACAATGGATTCATTAATTTACGTTGTTTCTTGTGTACATCACCATCTACCAACAAAATACCATCTCCAACAATCTTCTTTAAAAATTCTACAAATTTTTTTCTTCTACCAAATTTAGTATATGCACCATTAACAAGTACTTTTTGAATATTTTTTTCATCAAGAATATAAACCCTTGGTTCATTGAATAATCCATAACACCTATATACATTGCCATATTTTTCTGCCCAATGAACCCCACCCTTATTAAATTAAATGTAAAAAAAGAGGTCAAATTTTTTATAAACATAATTATTTATATATATATCGTGATCTCACCGTAGGTTTAATAATTTCCAAGAAACTTCCCAACAGAAAATGGTCAGGACGAGGACCAGGAATTTTAGATAAAGGAGATAAATATAATGGATAAATTATCCATTTATAAGTATAATAGCCGATAAGGAATGTCGCGACAACTAAATACACGGTTGTGCTTTCAATTATAGCCATTTTTTATTATTGTTGCTATTGTTGTTGTTACGATGATTTTATAAAATAATAATAATTTATTATTATAATTTTGGATTAAATTTAAAATATTAAAAAGAAAATATTCGCTATTTATTTAAAAAAGTTTTCTTTCTGGGATCGTATTTTATCCACGGAATAATTAAACTGCATCATATCAAATGGGATTATTGGTTTATCGACACAATTGCGCGTATAAGATCACCCTTGAAATTTTTGTAATTTAATCTTCACCATTACAATTGCCAGAAAGAACTGTCACACATTAATATTAATATAAATAGAAACTCCAGTACGTGCCAACCAATTGTATCATAGCTTTCTAATGATCTTCCCCTTTATAAGCTTAATGATAAAATTTCGTACGAGTATAGCTTTTTTGTGAATTGTTTATTGTTTAGAGGAAAATCAATAAATTTGTATCGATACACAAATAGAAAAATAATATGGCAAACAAACTATGGCAAGCCAAACAATACAAAATTCGTTTTGATTTATGATACACCATTTTAATTTATGATGTGCACATTGTTTTAAATTATGGGTACATCATTTTATGATTATGATGTGCGCATCGTTTTAAATTATGGTACATCATTTTAATTTATGATGCATGATACATCGTTTTAATTTGTGGTACACATTTTAATTTGTTATAATATATAATAAAAAAAATGAGTCCCTTCACATTTTTTTAAAGATGTCTTGTCATTTCGCTTTTAATAATGGAAATAAATGTTCTTGCTGGAAGTTCACTAAACAAGACAATAGTAATATTTGTCAAACATATAACCAAAATACATTTCACTCATCAATGTTTGGAGGAGAATCAGACAGCAGTCAGTTACTAACGTTCAATAATTTGAATTATTCAACTCCACAAATCAATTGGTTGCACGGGATACACAATATTTTAAATACAATAATACTAAAATAAGTATCCATTTTAACCAATTTTATTTGTTTGCTGGCATTTTCCCTGTAAAAAAAACTGATCCATGATTTGAAATTCCATGTATTCTTCAGAAATGTATCATATTTTTTTTATGGAAAAATCATGGAAAGATGGGAAGATAGACTTTTAAAGAGTGCCTGCCTCTGGTTGAAAACATCCAATTTCACTCAAGCCTCTTAGAGGTAGTTGGAAATTTGGCAGAATAAATTCTTTTGCAATTCAAAATACTGTACAAGTAAATTGACATCATGGATTTCAGCTTCATTATAAATCTCTTTACCAATAATTCCGGGTCTAGTAGTAAAATATGAGTGCTGTGTCTACAAACAAAAATAAAATGTCAATTAAGAAAAATATAGCATTTAAGTATATAGGATTTAGATAATCCATTGTGTTGCCACTCGTTTTAACCTTTCCAAGTCTCTATTGTTTTCAGCTTATATTTTTCAATCTCCGAATGTATTTTTAAAAAATGAAAAATTATCAATGACCTAAAAAGACACGAAATGCATAACACGATAACACAATTTGTTCATTACCTTTCTCTCCACTTGTTTCACGCAACCTCTTTCACCACTCCAAAACCTCATTTTCTCACTTTTCTTCTTTTCCTCTTCCAAATTCTCTTTTTTCTTCGATATAATTTCCCACACCTCCCCTTTTCAACTTCTCTAATTTTTTTCAGCCTTTTCAATTATTCAATCGTCATTTTGAAGCATAGAAAATTTTTTTTTGGTATGTCAGCGATTATGCATAATTTGACCAATAGTAAACGCGTTACATCTCTTGACTTGGAATTTGCAAATTATTTTATCTTTGATTCATGCAAAGTCTTCTAACAGTCTTGATTGAAAACATTGTTGTTTGATTTATTTTACAATTAGTGCTTGTTGATTTCAATATATAGTTCGCACTCTAATATAAATTTTTGAAACAGTGTTCCCCCCAAAAACCAACCAATAAATCAATCCCCTAAAATTTAAATGATTTTGCCATTTCGATATAAATTTAAAACTTTATCAAACGAATTATTATTTTTAAGAAATATGTCGAGTGTAAAAGAAGTATATATATATAATAATCATATTATATGCTTACTAAAAGATTAATAAATTTGTAATAAATTTTTTTTTTTGACGGTGAAGACGGCCAGTAAAAAGATCCTTCCACACATTGATCCTGGTAGTCTAGATTATATTATATATCATAAAAATTGTCGTAAGGAATTATATTATTTTACTCCCTCGTATGCATATATACACACACTATATTATTGCAATTAATATAATATTACAATTATTAACAAGCTGACGGATTTGGAGCAGCTTACTCGGCATGGAAAAAACTCGGAACCAAAGCAACATATCATGCCGCAGTACATAATGAACCACCGCCGTCTGATTTGAACGATAAACATGTAGGGATTTTTGATTTCACTTACTCAAGATCTATTATTAAAGAATTGGAAAAAAAAGCAAAACTGGTGGTTATTGTTGATCATCATTTGTCAGCAAAGCTGGATTTTTTTCCAGCATCATCATCATCGATTAGTGATAAAGATGAAAAAAAAAGCAATTATCATTTTGATATGGATAAAAGTGGTGCTAGATTAGCTTGGGAATTTTTTTGGCCTGATAAACCTGTTCCATCAATGATTAAATATATTGAGGATAAGGTAAAAAATTTTTTTAAAAAATGTAATTGATGCATTTTCTATTTATAAAAAATAATTCTTGTTTTTTTGTCAGGATTTATTTAGATTTTTGTTGCCTAAATCTAGGGAATTTTCAACTTATTGGGAAGTAATTCCACTAGAATTTGAAGAATATAACAAGTTTGTTGAAGACGAGGTAAAAATATTTCTTTTACAATTTATACAATTAATTAATTAATTAAATTAAATTAATGATATATTAACTACTAATATAAATTGATTATAATAGAGTTTAATAAAAAACATCCAAGAAATTGGTGCACATATTTTAAAGTATCGTGATTCTAAAGTAACATATTTGCTAAAAAATGTTTCATACAAACGTAAAATGACGTTAAGCTTGAAAGAAGCCGGGAAGGATAATAATATCATACCTAAAACATATAGTGTATCAGTGATTAATTCATCTATGTGGCAATCAGAATTAGGAAATAATTTAATGAAATCTAATTTTAATAACAATGACAAAAAAGAAAAAAGTAAAGAGAAGGTAGAAGAATGTGATTTTAGTATGATTTGGTATTATGATGGTAATGATAAACAATATAATATTAGTTTAAGAAGTATTGACGAGAAAGCAGATGTATCACAAATTGCCAAGCATTTCGGGGGCGGAGGACATAGAAATGCATCAGGATTTGCTTGGAAGGAAGCTAGCTTGGAAACTTTATTTGATAAAGAATAATATTGATAAATATATATAATTATAATTATTATTATTATTATTATTATTATTACAATAAAAATATTTTTCTATTTTTATTTAACGTCCAAAATTATTTTTTTATAAATAACAACAACTACAATTATTACTAACGATGATAATAGATGAACAAAAATATAAAAATATTAATTAGAGATTAAAATCATCCAACTAATAATAAAATAAAATAAAATTAAAGGATATACAGCCAATGCTCGGCGTTTGGTTAAATGAACAGCTGATAGGAAACTTACTGAGGCTAAATTAAATTTAACGATTTAAGACAACAATAATAATTAATATTAAGATAATTCTTAAAAAAATATATAAATGTCATTAATTTACCATATGAAGACCAAGCAAACGCAAAAATCACTAGTGGTAAACGAATGAAGAATGCTTTTACAAAGATCGCTACTATTGCTACAATAACTAAAGGAAAAATACAATACCCTAATATACAAACGCTCTGGAAGAAAGATCTAATAGTAATTACATTATTAATATGGAATTTGTAGAAGGCAAAACAATTAAAGACATAATAATATCATTAGATCCAACGAATAATCAGCACAAAGGTACTGAAAATAAAACCACCAAATGTTGTACCAGAAATATTATTTACTCAAATTTCATTTTAAATGATTTAATAACCAATTATTTAGATGATTTATTAGAAAAACTCATCAAAAAAATAGGAGAATCATTGGCAAAAATGCATTTGATTGATGTTATCCACGGAGATTTAACCACTTCAAATCTGATGTTAAGAGAAAATTCTGAAGGATTAGCAATAATTGATTTTGGATTAAGTTATGTTTCAAATTTGCCTGAAGATAAAGCTGTTGATTTATATGTATTAGAAAAATCATTTCAAAGTACTCATCCTACTCATGAATTAATGGTATTGTAAAAAATATCAAAAATTAGATTTATGATAATTTTTTTTTTGATACTTACAATATATTTATATTAATGGTATAGTTTAATGAAATTTTAAAAGTTTATGAGAAAAACCACAAAAATTCTAAAGAAATTTTAAATAAATTGATGGAAGGTACTTTGAAACTTTATTTACTTTTAAATTTTACAAAAATAAAATCTTATTAATTATTCTACTTTCTCACTAAATTAGTAAGATTAAGAGGACGTAAAAGAAGCATGATTGGTTAATAATATAACAGGAGCATATAGAATAATGGCAAGAAAATGGATCTTTTCTAATTTTAATAAAAACAAAAGATACACTATTTTTTGAAATTTAATTTATAATTCAATCAATATGTTGTTTTTCCATTGACTCCAAAATAGTAAGATTAGTATTTTATTTCTGGATCATTGGATTAATTAAGACTGCCAATTATGAGAATAACTTACATAGTCATGATTTAAATTAAAATCATGTTTATATCAATTAATTTTTAAAGGAACAATTTCTACAAATTGAATGGAATTAATTAATTGATACTTATCACCATATATATAATAAAAAAAACAGTTATTGAGGAAGGAATACAACTCCTTTTAGTAGCACAAGTTCTAAAATTTAAATATCTGGCTGATGCATTTGATTATTTGAAGATATGAATGTTTCTTTCTAATAACATTAACTTTAAGAAATAAAAATGCATTGGAATTTTAGTTTTTTTTATAAATTTATTTTTGATTGCCTTTGGGTTTTTTAACTTTACCTCATTTTCAGTTTCTCAGCAATGTGAATTTCACAAAAGGAAAGAAAGACTGAATGGTTTGGTTTCGACCAGAAACTTAGATTTAATGGTCAGTTTGACCTTTAATGAATCATTAAACTAGGGTTTGTTTTAAGAGTCAATGTGTGACCATTAAAGCTTGCATTATAAAAGAAACTAGATATCATTCAATGTCATAGCAAAAACTATAAAATATAAATGAGTCCTTTTTTTACATTTAAAAGTTATATGGATGGATCAGAAACAAATAATTAAGTAATTTGATTTCAAATGCGAAAACTATAAATTTACATTATCCATCTTGGTGTTGTCATATCATATGTAGAATCACTTCCACAAAAGATGCTAAATAAAAGTTTAATATTTTCCTCCAAAGTTTTTCTGTAAATTAATTTCATATCCCTCTTATCCCTTTTGAGAAAGATGTATATTTTAAATTTTGATATCACCATTGAAGGTAAATCTAATTGCACACCATGTCTTGTGTATAGAAAAATATAATGAGAAAGCAAACTGAAATTGTTATTATACACAGCCAAGGTGACGTATTATATATTGAATATATATGGTTGGCTTGGTCTAAAGACCTCCTATTGCTGCATCACGCGCTCAAATTTCAAAAATTGCAATTCATGATTAGATTTTGTCTCCACCAGTGGCTGCTTCTGGCTTTTCATTATGTTTAACTTAAGCTGAGGTCTCTTTAGTCATATGTAATACAAAACTATATACTGGCACACTGATAACAATATGGTAAATAACAAAAAATTAATTTTAATGAAGAAAATAATAAAATATAATAATGTATACATGATATGAATAAGTTATGATAAAAAAAAAGTAGATTTTAATTACAGGTAACATTTAATATAATAATATGTTTAATTTATTTCATATTTTAATTTAAATCCATCTTCTCATGTATATGATTTACATCTAAATCTTTTCCATAAAATTTCAACAGACCGAAAAAGTATTTGTTTCCATTCTTTAATATATGAAGAACCACCAAACAAATTGGAAATTGTATGACCCATTCAAATTTATCTGCAATTATCTCATTTAAACCCTTTTCCCAACTACACCAATGGTATGAAAAAACTCGATATCTAATAATTTTGGCTTTCAACATAAGGTTGACAAAATTTGTGTAAGCCATACCTCCTTTTTTAAATATAGAAGTAATGATTGCAGATGAAAGGAATGCTGTTGTTTTAATAATATGTTTGTCATTATATTCTGACATAGGATGAGTGTGTGCAATTTTTTGTTTCTGAAGAGCTTCATGGTGATTCATCTTTAAGGTTTCAAGCATTCTATTAATAAAGCCAGTAAAACAAGGAGTAAATGCTTCTACATATTCTTTTAGAGATTCGGGTTGTGTAAGTTTTTCTGAATTTTCTGTAAGAAATTTTTTTTTCCATGTTGCTAAATCCAAGTGTTTTTCCTTGACCGTAAGCTTCTTCTGAAGTTAAATTGGAAGCTCTTTCATCATCAGTGATGCCCATCTTGGCTAATTTAAGTATAGTTTTTACAAAAAATAAATGAAGAGCTTGTAGGGTTTTTAATGACATTTGATCCACAATTTCATTGTCAGGAAATTTTGGAGAATCTTTATTAAATAAGGATAGAGCTGGAAGCGGATAGTTGAGCACCTTTACCTATACACCGTAAAGAATCTCTTGCATCATTATCATGTTTATTGCATGGTTTAGAACTTCCTTTCCCAGATCTTAGATGATGATGTTCGTCATGCAAATCAAAGCAAGAACAACAAATAAATCTTGGCTGGTGATCTGTCTCAGCCTTTTTAGAAATTGATCTCTGAGTTGTAAAAGCTTTGCATGTATGTTGAGCATTACAAGACACCTGGATATTTTTTCCAATAATGTTCCAACGATGTTCAATGCATGCTTTTCTACATGTAAAGAATGTTTTGTTTTTCTTAACACAGAAATGAAAGGGGTTTGATATAAAAGGAATGACTTATACAACATAACGATTGTGATCATCATCAACATCATCAACATCATCATAGTTTCGTAAGTAGCTTTTCTCAAGTGCAAGATGATTATAGGAAAGTTCAGAATCAGGATTATCATTACTGATAGGTTGGAGTAATTTAAATAAAATAATCTATGTATGTGTGTATATATATAGTGTGAAATAAAATGATAGAGTTGGTCCGGTTAAATTTAAATTCGTATTCCAAGTGTAAAACATATTAATAATTATGATTAACAATTAATGTTTTTGTTTATTATTATTAATATTGGGTTTTCAAATCAATTATCAATATGAATAATTTAAATATGACCAAAACCGATGTCTTTTTATAAGAAATCAATTTGATTAATAAATAATATTTATATTTCATGCATATACATATACGTTCCATCCATATTTTCCATGCATATTTTGTGAAATTCGTAGTTGGACAATATTTTTTTTCAATAATGTAAATAATTGATAAACTATTTTTGGGAGAAGATGGAAATACTAATAAGAGACAAAATAGAAAAACAACAGTTCAAGCCTGAATCAATCTTGTTGAAACGGATAATAAATTAATAAACGCAATTAAGGAAACAGAATAAGACTTCTAGATTATGTTGGTAAACGTAGGAAAACATAATAAATATACATTTTATTTAAATATAAATTTTTTAATATTATATAAATAAATAGTATATATTAACTAGTTTTGATTTACATAGGCCATAATATATTATGCATCCTTGATATTTTTTAATTTTTACTAGCTAATAATTTTGAAATAAGAAGACATATACCAGCTCGGTTGGGCTGTTCAAGTGTGAACTCAAAATGATTGAATTGTATTGCGTTTTCTCATATAATGCTTAGAGTTGTTACAGTTGAGTTTGGTTTCAGATATACCAATTATGTCTATTTGGTTATCTTTGCATAATGTTTGAATATGGTTTATAAATGGTAAATCATTTATTCCTTGGATGTTTTGTGTTCCAATCTGAATGAGTTGTGATGTGAATAGAGGAGCATAGTGGAAGTTTGTTGTTACACGAAACTTTATACAGAACTCATTGCTTCTGAAACTTCGCCAGTTGTTACCTCTCTAAATTGGAGATCAAGTTCAGATCCAATTCAAATCCAGTTTATCACTTACTTTTTATTGCTAGAATGTTTGCTGTGTATTGTAAAGTTACGTTGCACAATATAAAAAATTAGTATAACATTTCAAATTTCCACTATGCTGAATAGAGGAATATTATTTATATATGGATTTGAAGTATTATTCGTTGAATTTTCACATATTAATTTGATTATTGTATTGTTTATATTTCATTATTAAATTAATTTAGATTTATAAGATGGTATGACCAAATGTTTGATAAGTAATTTCACCCATCATTAGCCAATAATACTTTTAATGTCAGCCAGGTCTTGAGGATATTTTTAGCATTTTTCCTGTTGTTTGACAATTAATTGATTTTCATTAGTGTTTAGTTAGACTTTGTTGTTGTGACTCTTGAAAACTAGTTATCATTATTCATTCATAAGATATTGTTAATCATTAAATTAAGAAAGTTACATTTATTAAAATAAAGGAACCATACCATATTATTATTTAATATTCAATAATTATTATTTTTGTTTTTTTTTATACATCTGCCTTCACATCCATCATGATGAGTACCCAGTCTTTTGATATGGAGTTTTCGTGACTAGAGCCACAAATATTGTTATAAATAAATAAATCAAAAAATTGCATCACCAAATAATAATAATATTAGGACTATAAATGAAATTTTAAAGAACAATTTTTAAAATAATGGCGAAGGTGAAGGTTGTGAGGATGATGGTAATGGTGAGATATTTGACTGAAAGGAAATCATGTTTCACTTTAGATGTTTTTTGCGTGGTGTCAACCGCTGTCTACCGTTGGGTCTTTGTCTTGCTCCGACGTTTCAGACCGTTCAAAATGACCAAAAACTGATGGTCTTGTCTTGGAACCTTTACCTTGGATCGTCAAAGGCTTGTCACACAACGTATTAGTGATATTTTCTGGTCACGAGACCGGGGTTCAAAAACGTTTTATTTCGTTGTCAATTTATCAAGAGGAAAAAAAAATCTACTGAAAAAGAAGTTGGGGTATTAAAAGAAAACATACGCCTATAAAAATCTTACAAAAAATAGAAATATGAAAAAAAATAGACCCAAACATAAAAAATTAACCAGCTTGCATCTAAATATAATGTCAGTGAAACTACTGTTCTGAAATTCTAAAAGAGTGATTATTTTTATCATTGAATTCTAAATCCTAAATTTTTAAATTTATTACCCCGTAATAATAACTTTGGATTATAAAAAACCCCGTTAATCCGAAGAAAAGTTACTGCAGAATTGCCTTCGGTTTAACGGGTTGCCTGTATAGTTTTAAACCAATTTTAGATAATTATGACAAAAAATATTATTTCTGATGCATTTCTAAACTAATTAATTGATATAATGATCCTTTTTCATCTACAAATCGTGAAATAGGGTTTCTCATAAAAAATGAGACGAGAAATTCATTAAATATAGAAACTTTAGATATGCTGATGCAACTATTAGTATCCTTAGAGAGTCTACCAAGTAAAGAATTTAAGTATATATTAGTTTTGATGATATTCCTGATCTTGTATCAAAACCCCCGGGTATTCCAATTGGACAGGTTACAATCCTACCCCTGTAAAAGATACAGTCGAAATCTTTACAAATAATTAGTAAAATGCCCATTTTTAACTCTAATAATTTTTCATAAAACTATATCAACACAAAAAAGCAAACCGATAAGTTGAAAGAACATTTCGCAGTCTTTCAAATTTATCGGTTTAATTTTTTGCTTTAACACAAACTGGAGGACCTGATGCATTTAGAAGTTACGCACGCTATAATTGTTGATGACTCTAGATGATCAGTATCATATTATGAAAAAATATTCTTTATATGTGGATTTTTTCATGGATTTTAGTTCACTCAAGAAAAAAAGTAAGAGATGATGGTGATGATCATCAGCAGCAGAAAAACTGGCATTTCATACTTTTAGTACAATCAATCAATTTCATTTATGCAATTGATACATTTTAGACATAACAATTTTATTATTAATATTATTAAAATATATTTTTATTGAAATCTAATGAATGGTACAATAAATAAATAAAATAAATACAATATAATTATTCTATTAATTATTCTATTAAATCCTATATTATATAATACAATTAATTTATTAATTGTTATTATCTAGCAGCCAACAATATATTTTGCCCCAACAACACCTTGAATAGTTATTTGCTGTCTTTCTGGAATATGTCTCCATTTAATTTTTCTGTATGTCAAATAGTCAAAATTATCATCGCAATCATAATCATAATCTGATAATCCTTTATTATGGGCAAGTCTGACCATTTCTATACCATAATCACTATATAATTCACTATGAGAAAACCCATTTTCCAACTTTGATTGTCCGTTTGGTTCTACCATTTCAACTTTCAGACAGTAATGTTGTTTCCAAACAATTGCCATGGCAGTAATTCGCATTGTGACAATCTTTTTTCTTTTGCTATTAATATCATTGTCTTTTATATAATTCGAACTTGGCCATTTTTTTATTAATACAAAAGGATAACTATATGACCAATCGTATTCCTTACTTTTAGGTGGAGGGAAGTTTTCAAATAGCAATTTAATGTGATCATGTATTATAAAAATTCCCAAAAATTGAATTCTGCGAAATAAATCTATTTTTTTGGAATAACGAGATAAAATACCATTACTAACTTTTAAATTGTTGTCTCTAATTATATCCATTACTATTTTAAATTCCTTATGAGGATCATAATAACATTCTGGAATTTCAACCCCATGAACAATTCCTTCTTTAATGATATTCTGTGATTTATATTCGGTGAATAAATTTTTGAATGCATTAATATGTTCCCATCTATCTTCCCAAATATGAATCGAATCTGTTAATGGATGTTGTTTAAGCAGATTATCTATAAAAAGAAACTTGTATTTTTTTGTAGATGCTGGAGGCTTTAGATCACATGGTTGACTAATTATATAATTATAATAATCAATGCCTAATTTTTTAACACTATTTTGACTATAAACAAGATTCCATTCAAGAGCCATATGAATTGGCTTAAAGCCTAAAACATCAAAATGTAATCCTATATCCTCCAACATTTTAGTGATGGTCTCACTAAAAACTGCATAACAACGACCTGTTAGAAAAACCGTCAAACATTTTGGATCGTTCATTGATTCTTTGACATTGTCTAGTAGACCTTTATTCCACCATTCATTCCATTTGTTTGACTCTGTAGGCTCACCTAGATCCAAAGATCTTGAATCTTGATACCAACCTTTGCCATCTGTAAATTGGTTTAACAAAACTCCAATTAATGTTTTACTCCATAATTTTGGATTAGGCTTGGGTGATGCAAATAATGTCCCATCAAAATCAAAAATGTTGATACGAGTTATTGGCGACTTCAATCTTTCTAGATTCAAAGAATCACCACCATCAACTCCATTCAATGATGGTAATGATAATGATAAATGTGCTGTTGGTGTTTGTGTTGTTGATTGTATGTTTTTTGTTATGGTTATCTCTTTTGAATGTATATTAATTATATTGGTTATATTGGAATAAATTAGATTCTGAGAGTCTTCATAAGTTTTTTCCAATTCTACATCTTGTTCAAATGAAATCGATTCTCTACTTTTTAAATTGCAAGTAGAAATAAATATTGAGGATGGATTTGGGAAAGTTTCTTCCAATATATCGTTACTTAAATCTGAGTCAATTAACGGAAATTTATAATTTTCTGCGCTTGTAAAAACTCGAAACAATGATTTGGACAAGTGGTCGAATACATCAGTATTAAGCATCTTGATTTTTTTAAAATTATTTATTAACCTCCTTTTTTTTTAATAATGCAAATTTTCAAATTTGGAATGATTTTCGTGGAGTTTAATTTAAATCCGAAACATACTTTATATATAACAATTTAGAAAGGATTGACGATATTTGATCACAAAATTGATTGCATGATCATTATAATTATCCCTATGTTTTACAAAAAAAAAGTTTTTATGTATATTAAAACCCTGAGTGTGTGGTGCATATTCAAAAGATCTTCTCAAATATTGATATGTAATAGTAAATAAAATAATATTATTGTGTAAATTTTATATGATTGTACAAAAATCTGCACAATTTCACTTGGTATCATACGATTTTTAAATAGCGGTTATCATGGCCTGATCCAAAATTTAATTATTCTGATTTTAGAAATGTTTTTATGATAATCATACCAACAAAAAACTTTGCTTAAAAGCGTGTGATACCAATATATAATAACAAGAGTTTAATAGGTTGCTGCGAGTTCGTGTAATCATCACATTACAGTCAGACTCCCATATAGTCACACACCTCGAGATCTAGCGAAATTTCAAGAATTTTGGTGACTATAGTGTTTGTGACTATACAGAACATTTTTTTACGATGTAGTAGCAGGGAATTTTCAAATAACAAAAAAATGTGACTATACTATATAGGATGCGACTATATAGGAGTCTCTGACTGTACCAAGAAAATTTAATACATTGCATTCAATTTTTTACATTTTCAATACAAAGCATATTTTTCTTTTACAATGTTGTTAGGTTTGTATAGTGATATTAGCCGGCTAAGAAATTTATCGGCTTACACGGCTTATCCGGTTAAAAAAATTTCTCTTGACATTCATTTTTACGTCTGGAATTTTAGTGCAGAATTTAATGGCATAGACATTTAGTTGAGATGGGTCCGCCTACATTACTTAGAATGACAAAAAAAACATTCATTTACTCAAAAGCAAAATACAATATATCATAGCAGGATAAAAGTCATTGAGTTCTATTCGTAATACAAATTCTTATTTTAATTCGAATTATTATTATTCGTTCTATTCGAATTATTCGTTCTATTCGTTTTATTCGTTTATTCGAATAAAACTTTCAATGTAATTCGGATATTCAAATTCATAACAAGTAAAACAAATAATTTGAACCATTAAAGGCGAGATATTATCATAACAATAATAAATAATAATAATAACGATAGTAGTAGTAATAATAATACCGGCAAGCTTAGTACCATCTGAAAAGGTTTTTTCGTCAACTGGGA